AATGTCTTATCTGTTGTGAAATTGAATGTTTACTTTTAGTATTAGGAAATGTCGTGTCTTATCTGCTTATCTGCTGTGTCTGTGCACTTTATCTGTTTCACCGTGGGAGAGTGAGACACGTCCTCTTGATTCCTCTGTATGTCTGGTGCATGTGAAGTAATTTACATTAAAGCTGACTTTGACTTTGAGAAAATGCATTTAGCTGGACTTTTTAGCTGGTTACTATTGACAAAGGAGACTAAGGGATGTGTTGTTCAACTATTTAGCTTTAGGTATACTGTTAACGTTACTAACATTAATACTGTTACTGTTAAAAATGGTTCAGTATGCCACTGTATTATGTACAATAACAACTTGCTATTACCACTGCCTACTACTACTATTATATTCAAGTTAAACTACTTCCAGTCAGGCCCAACTACAGTATTATTATTATTAATTATAAGGATTATTCTAATTATTATTCCGTTTCAAACACGAGTCGAGCACCAGTGTCGTACAGTATGACAGGACGATGACGTCTTTGTTTCCAGGTGGGAGGGGAGGAGGAGCCAAAGAAGAAGCTCCGGATCTGGAAACACAGGTTATGACTGGCCAAAGTGAAAGATAAGTTGACTTTTCATCGTGATAAAGTTAAACGGGTGAGTAAGGAGCATGCCATCATAAAGAGGAGCCGGAGGGGATAAGAGGAAGAGAGAAAAAAAAAAGGAAGAAGGATCGGGCGAAGAGGTAAACAACGACTCTGGTAATGTTGAAATGAGAATTCCGCAGTACACATGTTAGATGTAACAAGTTGTGTGACTGTACAGCAGGAAGCCGCATAGCTTCAGGAGGAAATCTGTAGTTTTACAGGAATGTGCGCTGCGGATCCAGGCAGATGTTGACATGTAGGGAGACAATGAAATGTTCAGAATAATAGCCTCAAGCCAATATCGAGTCTTTATTTGAATATTTATTATAACACCGCCTTCTGTGGCGTGTTTCTATCCTGTTTGTGTGTCTAAATTTTTTTTGGTTTCCCATAGCGTCCTATTTGATTTTAAGCTCTGTCTGAGCTGCTGCACTTTACCAAGTCTGGACTTGCTGTCCCAATCCAGGTAGATTTATTACACAGGTGTGTGTCTGTGTGTGTGCAGCAGCCATCCCACCCATCTTACTTTTGTGAATGTGAGCCACAGGGGCAGAAAATAACCACCTGTGGGATGCATAAACTGTGGGAGTGCAGGATCAGTAAATGAGCATGTGTACTTCTTGCTGTCTGTCTGTGTGTGTAGATGGCACAGCAAGAAGAGCCACTGTATGACTTCCCAGAGCCCACGAAGCCGTCAGCATGCAAGTCCTTGGGTCATCAAAGGGGACGGGGATCTCTGAGAAGCATCAGCGTACTGGACCGTCTCCTGCTCACAGTTCCTGTCTGGCTTCAGCTGTCAATCAACCCCGCCACCGCTCTGCACATACTTCAGAGGGAGCCTCCTGGGGTCAGAGCCACATACACTTGATATTACACTGTACTGAACACACACATTATACATTGTATAACTCGTTTTCCTTCCCTTTACATGTTCTACACACTCACAAATTCACTCAGTAATCAGTTGCGTTGTCCTGCAGACGTTCCTGGTGCGTAGGTCTCGCACATCCCAGAAGAATGTGCTGTGTGTCCGTTTGGCGGATGACAGCGTGCCATCCTTCGTTCAGCAGTTTGGTATCAGGGAGGAACAATCCAGTAAGAGACTGTGTGATTTTTTGTGTCTGACCAACCAACCAATCTGACTGGCTGACTCCTCTGGAACAGAAATGTTTAGTCATACATGTTGACTCACATGTGAAGATCTTGTCTGAGTGCACTAGCAGGTTGCCATGTATATACTTTTCTTTGGTTACCCAAACAAAACACACATTTCACACAAGTTCCAAGCTGTAACTAATTACTGTACCTATTTCAGTCCATTGACCACTAATCATGGATGCTTTACAGTACCTTTAACCATCTTATAAAGTAACTGGTCCTGTTTGTCCCTGAAAGTCTCTTTACTTTAATGCTGAAATGAAAAAGCTTATGTACACTTTATAAAATGTGCTGGTATGGTCCTGTAACACAGCTTTGCTCCAGTATTACACATAGTACCGTATATACACATCGGTTTTTAGACAAAAAGGGAACATAACTTTCAGTGTTTCAAAGTATTTTGACATTATGCCCACACACCCAGGGTCCCAGTAATAAGACCCTGGAGGCAGAACAACCACTTTGTTGACAATAACTGCCCTTCTCCCCCTCTCTCGCCTTTGATTTTTCCTCACCCCCAGCTCTGTCTCTGGAGACTTCAGCCATCAGCTTTCCAGATCTCCCAAGACTAATTTCCTTCTACTGTGTCAGCAGGTAAAATCACTTCCTCATTCTCATTTGCCTCATCTGTTCTTCATTTAAACCTTCTTCATTATCTGTTCTCTATCAGCCTTTTCTTTGTCTATTTTTCTTACCTTCATTTCGACGGCATTTTAACATCAGTTTTTCCTCCTTTTCCACATCGATCGTTGTCTGTATTTATGTATTCACCTGCAGGAAATTATGTTGGTGTTAATATTATATTTTGTCTGTGTGTCAGAGATGTATTACCGTTCCCTCTGGAGCTTCCTGAAGCCATTGCAAAGGCAACATCCCACAAGGAGCTGGAGTCCATCTCACATATGGGAATAGGTTGGTGAACACAACTCCTTGTTTCCTGACAGCAGATTTTGTAATCTCAACCTCAAAGACACGAGCCTTAAAGGATTTATTTACACAAGCTGCGCACATACTATACTTACAGTAATTACCTCCCAGCTGCGTAAGAAACATAAACACTGGAAAAATGTGTGTGTAGGTATTTTTGTGAAGGACGAATCAGTAGAGATTTATTGATGAATTATAGTATAATCAACAGAATATATTGCCATGAAATATACTCTTCTTAATTACTTTTTCTATATGAAATGTCATTTTTTAGCAAATGAACTCCTTTTTTCATGTTTGACCTAGGTTTTGCATGATAGGATGACCCAATTGTTAGATTATATGGTTCTAAAGTTGTGTTGAGGTAATATTTTGTGCACATCACAGCACAGATAGATTACACATATGGTAGTTGCTCAAACCAATTAATTGAAAATCTATCTTGTTATATAGAATTCTGGAGGTCCCACCTAAACATCCGTGGGCCACGGGACGAGAACAAGAAGCCAGATGTTTTACCCTCGGCCCCGCCCACTTCTGCCCCGCCGACGAGCTCTGCAGCTCAGTCTGATTCAGCTCACCAGCCCAACTCAGAGAGCCTGCTCAACACAGAATCCAGAGCTTCCACCAAACACTCGGGTCAGGCCACCCTGTTCCACGAGTTTTGTCCGATCACGACGCGCAGCCCCCGAGAGCTGGACTGTGGGTCCGGCCTGGGCGCCCTCTGCTTCATCAACCCCCTTTTCCTGCAGTCCCAGAATGCTTTGTCCAGACGCCGCATGTTCAAACGCAGCCTCAAAGTTCGAATTTCCACAGAGACGTCGACCCTGCTGTCGCCGCCGCTTGCTCCTCCTCCTCCACCACCTCTCATGCCCAAAACCAAAGGTAAATGTAAAGCCCGGAAATGTGGACAAGCCCAACTCCCGGGTCAAGCCACTCAGATTGGTCCAACAGTTCAGGACTCCCAGTCCCAGCCTTTGATACAGACACAGGACACCCCTAGTGAGGCACAAGTTCAGCCTGCGTCAGCAACTCCTCACCAGCCTGAGATGCAGGATCCAGGCCAACCACAGATGGAACCGGGCCAAAGTAAATCTGGAGCCCTGGGATTGGAGGCTACGGCTCAGCTGCCAGCAGTAATGGAGAATCTTCCAGATGACTCAGACTACATGCAGCCATCTTCGATGATCAATTCCTCCCATTCTCCCATATTCTCCCCTTACCTCTCCCCATCTGCTTCTCCCAAAGCACCTCCCCTGTTTCCCAAAGTATCTTCGTCCGTCTCTCCTCGTGACTTTCCCTCTCTCTCGCCATATCAGTCTCCATCTATTTCTCCCAAGGTTCCCTTTTCCCTCTCTCCACATTGCTCACCCAGTGCTTCGCCTTCTCTCTCGCCATATCAGTCCCCTTCTCTTTCTCCCAAGGTTCCCTTTTCCCTCTCTCCACATTGCTCACCCAGTGCTTCGCCCTCTCTCTCGCCTCATCAGTCCCCATCTCCTTCTCCTAAAGTCCCCTTCTCTCTCTCCCCCTTCACCTCTCCGTCCTTCTCTCAGCTGGCAGAACAGGCCTATCGCACACGTGCTGCTCCTTCAAGACCAGATCGGCAGAGATCAGAGAGAGAGGCTGAGGAGGAGGGAGCAGGTGAAGATAAGGATGAGGATGATGAGACAAATGAGGAAGAGGCGGAAGAGGGTCTGGTTTTACAGATGAATGCTGCTTCTCTTAGTGACACAGACAGCTGCAGCTCCTTCAGTAGTCTTGAGGGGGCAGCAGAGACTCCACCTCACCCACCCCACAAACAGGACAACAGTACAAGCCTCTAGCGAACAAACATCTTAAACTGGAACTATCATGTATATATCATGAAGCTTTTTGTAGAATTGTTTAGTGTAGATATTGTGACAACATCCCAGGGTCTCACCATTAAAATGTGTTTAGCATGGAGCAACACATTTAAATAAGTTACAAAACCAAAGATTTCAATGACGATACTGTTTGTTTTGCATGTTTTAACTGCAGCTGTAGCTTTTTTATGCTTCGTCATCCATTCTTAAGTATACCCCAGGCTGATTTCTGACCTGACAGGGAGCCATTTGTTTCTTTTGATGTTAGTTTTTTTCTGAAAATTAAATTAATAATTGCAAACTTTAAACTTTCTTGAGTTAGGTAGTCCACAGTTACCATCACTTTTTGCATCAAAAAGTACAAATAAAACATCTTATTTTCATACTTTGTAATACTGTTACTACCAAAATAGAACAAGTAGATGATATGAATCATCATGCTGTTTCTGAAACTAAACAGTTTCTGTTAAGCAGAATCACATAAAGGCACCAACATTTAAAGGTCCAGTGTGTAACAGGAGGATCTATTGGCAGTAATGGAATATAATATTCATAGGTATGTTTTAATTTGTGTATAAGCACCTAAATATAGGACTTGTTGTGTTTTTGTTACCTTAGAATAAGCGGTTTTTAATCTTCGCTGTGGGTGACCTTCCAGTCCGCCATGTTTCTACAGTAGCCCAGAACAGACAAACCAAACAGTGGCTGTAGAAGGGGGCTTTTAGCGTTTCTTTCCATGAGTTTCACGGCCACCGTAGTTTCTCCTACACACTTCACTGTCCATTCTCATTCCCAGGGCATCAAATTCAGTTGCTAGCAGTGTTCAGTTAGTTGCAATCCGCAACTTCACAACTATATGCTACTAAATCTTACACACTGGACCTCTAAGTGGTTCTTGCAGTAACATTAGAGGTTTGGTTCAGAGACATTATTCTGGTTCCTTGTAGGAGAAAATGTTGAATTGCAGTTGCCCACAATCCCAGTATATTGTGCAGGCTTGAGTTGTTTAATTTCTTTCTTAGGAAACCACCACCACCATGTCTTCCTACTGTGATATCTTTTAAAGTAAACGTAGATAATGTAATTAATGTCCTACTTCAATCATCAGCCAATTTCTATGTTATTAAAATATGTTTAAAGTCAGTCTCAGATTTGAGGGTGAATTGAATCAGTGACTGTCCTATGGTTCTGGTAGAAATAAAATACCACTAAGATCTTATCAAACAAGTTTTATTTGTGCACATTCAACACCACGTTTCTTGTGTTTTTTAGGATTTAATACAGTCAAGTAAGCAAAAAGTGTTTTTTTGTTTGCTATTTAACAGCTTTAACCTGCCAATCATCATCATCATCATCATCATCATCAACAACAAAGCTGGACAAACTAAAGATGAAATCATTTTTAGCCAAAAGTTGACTGTAAATAAATCCATCCATGAGCATAATTTCCAGTTCAGACACAATGTAATGATCATAGTGATCATAATCATTTTGTGAAGATTTGAAGCCAACTTTTGACTACAGTGAGAGATAGTCACTTGCATACACGTTTATACCCAGGAACCATTTTTATTGTCAGGCAGCATTGGTTTAATGGACAATTATCAAATCTTCTCATTAGAAGAATGTGTGCATAAAAGAGTGATAGTGTGGTATTAATTATCAGCTCATTTATTTGTATTTGATCCTGTTATCATAGACAGACCTGACATTGGGCTGGAAAAACTGTGGCTGGTGTCTTTGGCAGATCTGTTCTTGTCTTATGGCTTTAGTTTGAAGTATGAAGTTTAATCTGTCAGAAGTGTCTTCTAAAAAGATTTGGATCATTTTGCCATTTTTTGTGTTGTGTGTCCACTAAGAATCAGTTTGCATTTGACATATGGTTAAAAAAAAAAAAAGAAATTTGATTTCAGTTGGTATTTTTGAAGCCTCTGGAGCGGATCATCCATCGATCCATCAACACCAACAAGGGGCGTCTCTTTTGCTCATCTCCAAAAGGTCGGCCTCCAGCTGCTCTGCGTCGTCTTGGAATCGCTCAGTGAAGGAGAGAATCAAACCTGCTGCACTTCCTTCATATTCCACCAGCTCTATGCTGTCCCCTGGAAACCCCACAGAGACAGACACAAACTCAACAATTAACTCCGATAGTGCAAGAATCTACAATTACTTCTACACGTGAGAACCCCCATAACAGGTACAGGTGCAGATACAGATACGTACCATTGACTTTGGTGTTGGCCTGGACAAACATCTTACGAGCTTCCTTCCTCAGCAGTATGGTCTCGCGGAGACGCAAGAAGTTGTGAGTGCCGCTGTCGCTGACAGTGGAGTAGCCGTCATAGAGAGCCCTGCCTCCTTCCACATCTGCCGTTGACTTCAAGACCTGCAGAACGGTGAAATCAGGTTAGCGACATGTTGGCTAACAATCTAACCCACTATGATCACCATGCAGCATTGCTATATTAATCACATGAATAAAAGCAATTTTATTATGAAGTTGGTTATTGCTTTGGATTTGTTATTGTGAAGCTTAAATTTGAATTTTCTTTATGGCTGCAGTTATTTTCATTATCTATTAATTTGTCAGTTACAATTGATTCTACCAATTGTTTTTATAGCAAGCCTAAGTAACAGTATAAACAAAATGTCCAATTTCCCAAAGCCCAGATTTACTTTATTTCAAGTGTTTGTATGCAAGCCAAAAGAATAGATATACCTGCAGTTTACAAAGGAACCTGTGGATGGCGTCCTTGCCCACAGTGTGGATCTTGCTTCGGTCCAATGTAATTCGAGCGTCAGGTTTGCCGTCCTGTCCCGCGACTTCCTCCAGGCCCACCAGGCCCTCCCCGGCCTCCAGCAGAACACGCAGGATCACGAAACGTGCCTGCATGTGAGCCTGAGACACACACATACGCATGCATATGACATACACTATATACATCTCCTGACACTCATATAAACACAGACAGACTTACTATAAGCTGTATTATAAAACAACACAGACGCATACAGCTGAGCCTGTCAGTTTGTAAGAAACACGTGCTTAAAGTTCTGCATGTTGACTTGTCTTGTAAACACTGTTCACCTAACACTACGCATTGCTGAAGTCCTATATAAATGAAAGTTATAGTTCATTATTACATGTTGCAAACCAGTCCAAGTAAAGACAGAGAGACATCTTGTTATGGAGAAAAGAAAGTAGGTGAGCAGACAGATTACCTGTCTCCAGCTCTTGCTCTCAGGTGTGTAGAACTCCAGGCCCAAAAGTCCAGCTCTAACCATGCTGAGCCAGTTGACGTACACCACATCCTCCGCATCCTGACCCTCATGGCCAAAAATACTGGAACATACACACACACACAAAGGAATGGTTATAATGCTGGCAATCATCCACAAATAATCCAGGCTTTACCAGAAATAATAACCACTCCATCTTCTTCACTGTGACACATAATAATAACATAGCATCTCTCCGGCCTGAAACTGAACATTTTAAATGTCTTAACTATGTAAAAACAGTATTTTCTTTTGTCTGCTGGCAAAAGCTTAAACATAAATGGCTTCATAATGCCTGGAATAACAAAACAGTCCTCTTTGTCCTCATTCTGTAACTAAGAGTAATGGAAGTGTTCTTCAGCAGCTGATGTCAGTGTCTAGTTTGCATTTTAGCTACTTTTAAACTCTGAAAGCCCCTTAAAAGTCCCCACCCCAACATCAAACCACGGAAGAAAATCAGGTATCCCTAAAAAACGAAAAAGAAGCCACTTGATAGGCTGTTTAAATGATATGAATATATATACTGAGTGTACGATATACCTGAGCACTTGCTTGTTGAGACACAGATAGAGTCCGACACACTCAGCGCGGCATTCTTCGTAAGAGGAAGCGATCGTGGAAAATTTACTGTCCCACGTCTCGCTGCCCCGGTACCAACTGGACACCTAAAAAGACACTCACACCTTCAGTCTCTGTTTTTCCAACTGAACACAGTTTTAAAAACAGGCCTACACACAAACACTCACCGGCTCTCCAGTCTCTGGGTTAGTCACCTTACTCTGATCAAAGTTGAACTTGCCCTTGTCGTCCTGTAGGAAGAGATGGAGCAAAACAAAACCTAAATCAGGTTTAACTTCCTCACTGATGATTCAGTCGAATATCAGTAAATTCAACATTTTCACAGAGAGTTTCAATTTGCCTAACTAAGGTATCAAGGGAAGTCGAATGAAAACCCTTTTGTTTCAGATGAATTGCAAATTATTCAAACACATTACTGTGGTTGCGCATTCAAGATTCATGAGACTATAAATGATGTAGGTTAGCTCTCCAGTGCTGATGTGATTGCGCTGCAGCAGTATGTTTTGACTCACCTGGACAAAGAGCTTGCCACTTCCATGGCCCAACAGCTCATGAAGTCCAACCTGCACCTCGAACGATGGTCCCTTCCACTTGATAAACAAATCCTAGTGCAAACAACACACACACGAGAATGTATACAGTAATTATGGGAGTGTGTGAGAGAGACGAGAGCTGGCGTGGAAAGAGACAAGGAAGTTGCATGTGTTACCTTGTCCTCCTCCTCCAGGAAGGTGAGTTTTTCTTTTTGCGTGGCATAGGCTACAGCCAGCACGTTGCCTAGCGACACGTTTTTAAAGCCCTCTGACTGTCTGATGTCGTCATCTACACACAAAAACACACAAATGTAGTTGAAGAGCAACACTGTGAGACAGGCCATATTTTTAAACCCCGTATCTCCGTGTACATACAGTTGGGGATGTTGATGCCAGCTGGTATTCCACTGCCAGCGAAGGTCAGAACATCCAGTGAGGTGAAGTCAGGTTTAAGGAAAGTGTCTTTCTCAAACTCTTTGGGCCAGGGCAGCTCGGGGAGCAAGACTTCTGCTGAGCTCACCAGTTTGGCAAAACGTTCACTCATCGCCTTGTTCACAACCGCAACGAAACCTAGAGGAGACAGAACAACTCCACAGTTAGGACATGAACGGATAGAAAAAAAAAAAGACAACTTCTAAATAATCCTGAAGACACAACAGTAATATAAACCCTCCTGTAATTTTAACTATTTATCTTTTTTCTTTACAGTTGTTGGTCTTCCAAAATGTAATCACTGCTACAATTAAAATAAATATCTACTAAAGTAGTTATTTTAAATAGCTCAATTACAATGGTAATTATTCGATTCATAGTCTTCAGCTCTGTACCACAGCAATAAAACCTGGAGAAGAACGTGGGATCACAGCTTGCATGCCAATAAACGCATTAATATGGCTGTTCTTGATCACTGTGGTACTTACCTTCAAACTCTCCCCTGGAGCCGAATGGGTCTCTGTAGCTCTCTATGAAACCTATATAACTGCGAGGAGGAGAGAGAGAGGAGAGAGTGGAGGAGTAATAGGGAGTGGAGAGCAGAGAAGGAAAGGTTTCAGAGTTTAATACAACTGAGCAGTATTTAAATATGTTTGGAATTAAGCAGCTATTTGATATTGGTTCAGTGGGCTCACCTCTCAACAATTGGTCCCTTGTCTTTGATCCAGTAGCGTGAGCCCTCTTTGTGAGCTTCAACTGAGCCAAAAGTGAAGCTGCGTGTGTACTCTTCAAGCATCTTTCTCTGGTTTTCATTGGCAGCGTAGGCCTGTGTTAAGCATTTGGAAAAACACCAAACATTTCAAAAGTGGGAACCGTGGCAGGAAAAACGTTTAGGCTATCAACTCATTCGTTCACTCTTCTTAAAAACATGGCTCTGTCTTTGTGTTCTGTTCTTCCTAATATTGTTTTGCCAAAGAACAATACATTCATTTCAAGAGGCAATTACAAACTCATTCTGCTTTACTGACTTCAATCGAGCTGAAACAAGACAGGCTGAAGGCTGACGTTATTCCACATCCCTTGCTCTCACCTGTGCTTGTTGGAGGTTAGAGCTGACTTTCTCCATGAGTTTAGCATAGTCTCCCCTCTTCACAGTGAACTCTTTGTCTTCGAAGTTGAAGCTGCCGCAGCATGACTCACATTCCCCGTCCACTGCACAGTCTGTGAAGCAGGAGTGTACGTTTTATTGTTTTAATCTGTAGCATCATTAGCTAGATGAACAAATCTCTGAACATCAATTTGTAGGTAGTCATAATGTGTTTGAGTTCAGAAGCTTGAATGACTCTAGCATAACATGAGGAGTCTACATGACATGTGATGTATATTGATTTCTGCACACCAAAAAATGTAATATGAATGGTGAATGTTGTAAATCTTTATAAATCGTATTCTGGTTCTCGTGTAAAGTGTAGTTACTGACCTTTCTGCACAGCTGAAGCCAGGCGCACCTCATAGCAGGCTTTACCTCCGTTGTCCTTCTTAAACAGACGGGTGTTGTAAGCAGACAGTTTCTGGAGAAAAACCACAAGAACACAGCTAGACATAAGCCAAAATCAGACCGGAGATCCGGGAAGGAGGGAGATGAACCTTAAAAATGGTGGGACGAACCAAGAGACAATCAATCGGGTGCAACGAGGAAGAGTGAGATGTCAAAGAGTCCAGAATAAAAGAAAGAACATGTTATTACAAGAGAGTGGGGAAAGAACAGGGGAAATAAGACTCATTTTAGGTGTGAATTCAGCTTACTTTCGAATCAAGGAACTTCTGAGCCAGCTCAGCATCCTCCAGGCAGCAGTTTCCTGAGAAGTAGGTGGTAATTCCCTGAAGAAAAGCAAAGAAAAAACCCTTCATAAGACATGCACTTTATAATAGGGGTCACAGTGCCGGGGGGGGGGTCACCTGTAGTGCCCCCTGGACATTTAGGGTTGAGTGTCTTCCTAAAGGGTTGACAGCCAATGTGAAACACCATCCTGCAGAGCATTTGATTTGCTTCTTAATATTCAATTTATCCGACACATCTCAAAGATGAGAAAGCGGGAGGTGAGAGTAAGAACAACTCCTGATGGCTTTTTGCATTAGAACAGACGAACCTGCCAGAAAGAACAAAACGTTCCAGTCCTCTAAACCTGCGTTCATGATTCTGAAACGTGCTCCTAACATTTGTCAAATCTATCTCAGTCCCGAGAACAGGACGGATATTTCATTAGATATTACCTGACAAAAACCCTGCATTAAATGACATAAGATCCCACCTTGTCGCCCAGCCCCAGCTGCTTCTGTCTGTCTTCCAGAGAGTAGAGGAGACACGAGCAGCTGTCCCACAGAGCCTCCATCTCAGTGGGCTGCTCCTGGAATGCCTGGCTGGCCTTCACCAGAGCTTTCAGCTTGTCCTGCGCAGACATACCACAGATGCAGACGTCATATAATATGTCTCAGCAGCAGTAAAAGAGTACAGTTCATATATAATACACCAACTTGTACAATACAATATTAAAACATTGGGTTTATGCTTTATGCATTAAGTGTTGGTTTCACTTTGATTCAGTGGTGTATTAAACTGCAACATATTGTGAGAGGGTTGATCTTTTTGTGTCAGGGTGTGGACACAATAAGAACACAGGAGGCCTTTTTACCTTAGGTAGATTTGGGATGAACTTGGTGTCTCCGAAAGACTTGTAGTTTCCCATGTTGGCATACAGACCTGCTGCATACACCAAGAAGGCCTAAATAACACACACACACGACACGACATGAACATCTTTAGATATGTTTGCATTTGTTTGTGGATTAAACCCTAGCGCCAAAAACAGCCAAAGACAAAGGACTGTATACCTGGTACTCCTCAGCACTGAGTCCAGCTGCTGTGGCGACCTGTTCCAGCTGTGCAGGCGTCTGCTTCCTGAAGAGCCTCTGCAGCAAGACAAATATGTTTGCCGACTCTGGGGACGTCTGCAGCAACACTGCCAGACCACCATACCTAAGTCAGCAGAGGGTCATTTTTGGTTTAGCACGGTTTCAGTTCTCCAGTAAACTAAAGTTTTTATTGTTTAAATGAGGTGAGGAATGTATTTTTACGGTGGTAATTGCATTAAGCATCTCGGTTGACATAAGTAACATACCAAGCAGCGCGTGACAGGTAGTGGGCGTACATCTGCTCCTGAGGGGAAAGCAAACGGAAGGCCTCGCCACAGTCGAGTGCAGAGACACCAATGTCATTTGGGAGGTAGTACTGGGAGTCCACCATTTTCAGTCGGAGGTTTAACACTGATGTTGAGGAACTGAATTAAGAGAGGGGGAGAATGGGAGATATAGGAATGGATGAGGTGGAGAAAGGGAAGTGAGGAAATGTAAACAGGATGAGAAAGAAAGGTGGAAGACAAAAAAAAAAAAATTGAGAAAGGAAGGACAGATGAAAGAACAGGAGTAGATTATGGGATAAAGAGATAAAAGCATGTTAGAGTTTACAGCATTGGGGTTGTTCTCTCATTTTTCAACCGTGAGCTCTAGGAAGTGTTTGCACACCTGTTTAAACTTTACGGTGGTTAAGCAACTTGTGTGCAGTAATACACAAATGCTCATTTCAAATGGTTATACTGAAGTTCTTCTTGATTCTAACTTGTTTTTGAAGAATATAAGCTGTGGTATTCTTCTTGCAGCCCAAAACCCAAAGATATCCAATTTACAATGATATAAAACAGACACCTCATAATTCACTGATTATCAATATCGTTGACAATTAAGTTTCTGTCGATCCAACATTCATCTAATAATTGTTAAACCACAAACATTGATTCATTTCAGGGATTTTTTTTAAAGATACTTATTGTTCTGAAGAATTAAACTGGATTAACTGCAGTGATTTATTGTTATTAAAAAGGTCTAAGATATCGTGTGATAAGTTAAAGTTAAACCTGGGAAGTAGACGAAAGGTAAACACATGATAAGAGTTTATTCAAATTACAACGATCCAATAGAATTAAAAGTTTTTAGGAGACCAGCAGGTGCTCGTCCCTGAACCTTAATCTAACTAGGAAACTAACAATGGCACAAGACGAACAAATCAGTAAACATTTCTGTTTCACTTTCCATCCACACCAATAACTGGAAAACAAAAAAAAAAAAAAACAAGGAGCCGAATTGACTTAAAAAAAGTGCAGCACCTTTATGGCAACGCCGAAATAAACCTCTCTTTTTCATAACCCTTTAAAATGAGCAACACGTTTTAAGTAAACACTGGATAATAAATCTTCATGCTACCTAACTACTATCAGCTAATTCAACATTAGCTCCTAGCGTCAGTGCTAAGACGGCTGCTGAGTGTTTGGAGCATTTTAACACACTGCCGCAACTCCTGTGAGCAACTAAATGAGTCGCAAATACTATGCAACTAATTTCTGTGCACGATTAGCTACGATTTAGTGCATTTCGAGAGTTATAAAGGTGGATACCAACTCAATAGCTTGTTACCTTATTTTCTTCAATAGCTGCGGCGAACGTCAAATTGCAGTCTCACGCTGTCTCACTTCCTGTATTCATTCAACGTTCTGCCCGCCCCTCGACCAATCACAGGCCGTATATTGTGGTTGAGAGCGATACTGACCAATCACGAAGTAGCAACGTCGGACTTGTACCATGTACTTCACGCCGTAATCTTCGTGTTAAAAAACAACCTCTGTACGTCTAACACAAGGACATTGGACTATAAAACCACACACACAAACAAATCATGATAAGGTGTTTACATAGGGAATGAATAATTACCAATACTGCCTGACACATGGAATACGGGACGAGGTGGCCGAGTGGTTAAG